TCTGAAAGATAGGAGCTATGTCAGGAATAGCTATTTCAGGAGTGTTCTGCTCACAAGAAAGAGAAAATTACTCACAGGAAATAGAAGAAAATAACCTCTGAAAACAAAAATCTTTTATAATTTTTATGCATTAATTTTTATTAGGATATTCAAAATATAATTAGAAATGAAAGTGCCTCTTTTCTCTCTAAAATATCAATTCTACTCTTACTTTTTCAACTTTTGTTTATTCTAAATATTTTTTTTAATTTTATTCATTATGGTTTGTTGCACATTTGGAACATGTACCTTTTTAGTCCCATTACTTCCTCACTTTATACAGTATTTCCAAAGTAATTCTTTTCTCACACACAAATCAGATCTCCTCAAAATATTTCTTCTGAATTCCTTCACCTCAACTATATTAACCACTAAAGCTAAATTATGATAATTAACAAGAGCTATGTCTGGCGCTATGGGCTAATGCGTCAGACTGCAAAGTCGTTTGAACTGCAAAGTCGGTGGTTCAAGCTCACCAGCTGCTCCTTGGAAATCCTATACAGGGTCACTATGGGTTGGAATCGACTCAACAGCATTTAACAACACAATAACATGTGCTAGTCAGGAGTCCTAGTGTGCTGTTTAATACGCAGGACTGCAAAATCAGCTTGAGCTATAAGGCCAGCTGCTCCTTGGAAACCCTATACAGGGTTGCGCTATGGGTCAGAACCAACTCAGCGGCACTTAACAACAACAACATGCTATTCAAGAATGAGCAAAATTTGGCAAATTATGCAAGAAAATATTTACAGTAGTTGTTTAGGTTGCCTGTGTATATAAATTCTGCAAGCCGAACAGAAATAAAAATCTGACAAACATATCTTTGTAAAATGGATAATTTTTCTTTCATCTCTTACATTGTTGGTGTTGTTACTGCCATCAGTCTGGTTCCAACTCATAGATATAGGATTTCTGAGGCTATAAATCTTACAAAAGCAGAAAACTTCGTCTTCCTTGTAAGGTGAAGCTGGTAGGTTTGAACTGCTGGCCTCGTGGCTAGTAGTACAGTGCTTATCCTACAGTTAATTCTATATTAATCATTAGCAAAATCATTTGTAAAGAGGTGAGCAAAATAAGACTATACTTTGGTTACCAACACATCTTTGTTTCATGAATTTAACAAATCCACAACTTTGCATTTCATTTCTCTAATGTAAATAACATTATGGTGGCAGGATTATAAAACTGTCACCTTACATGAGCAAAAATGAAGTAACGAAAGTCCTTAGAACCTATGACCAACACTGAGTAGTACATTTCACTGTACATATTCTCAAATAATATAGATGAACTAGATTTAACTGCCTAGGGAATAATCTATAATCTTTTAAAAAGGGGAGGGGCAAGTTAAATTTTTACTTTTACCTATGAATATAAAAATTTGAGTCCAAAGTTAGAAGACTTGATGTTAAATTATTGTTTCCTAAATCTTCTAATTAGTATAGCAAGAATATCCCTTACACGTCAAAATGGCAAAACTTAGTCTTACATACACTGGACATGTTATCAGGAGGTACTAGTACCTGAAAAGGACATCATACTTGGTAAAGTAGAAAGTCAGTGATAAAGAGGAAGCCCCCCCCTCCCCCAATGAGATTGACACAGTGAATGCAGCAATCAGCTTAAACACAACTGTGAGGATGGGCAGACCTGGCAGTGTTTCATTCTGTTGTACATAAGGCCACCATGAGTTGAAAATGACTCAACAGCACCTAACAACAAGTCTGATAACAGAAAGCATCATTTGATTACTACTGAATTATTACAGCCAAGTGAAAAAGTTATAATTGACTCACATTAAAATAGGAGCTATGGGTCAGGAATACCCATTCCAGGAGAGGTCTGCTCACAAGAAATAGCAAATTTTCACAGGAATTAGGAGAAAATAACCTCTAATTCACTGTTGTTGTTAAGTGCTCTCAAATTGGTTCCCACTCATAGTGACCCTGTATAGGTTTCCAGTAAGTGGCTGGTCAGTTTGAACTACCAATCTTATGGTTCTTAGTCCAGTGCTGATCCTACAATAGGGCTCTAGAATTTTAGGATTCCACTTTTTCAACTTCTCAAAAATGTACAGAAAATTAAAGAGCTAGATCTTACTTGACCAGGAATTTGAAGGTTCACAGTAACAGCTATAGATGCCAATTATGCTCTACAACCATTCAACATGAAAACCATCTCTAAATATTAAGGATCTGGATCATTTCTATTACCCTGAGATGATTGAACATGTAAAACAAAACATCCTAATTACTGCCTAACTCATATTTTAAAGACTTAATGTGAATTAAAAGGAGCTCTGGTAGCGCAGTGGTTACGAATTGGACTGCTAACCTCAGCATAAGCAGTTCGAAACTACCAGCCTCGGAAACCCTGGTCAGGGTCACTATGAGTCAGAACCGACTCCACAGCACATAACTACCACTAATCAATGTGAATTAAAGTTAACTTTATACAAAGAGATACTGCCATTTTGACCAAGTAATTTCACTATACTTTACTGCTTTTATAATAAACATTTAAAATTATGCTGCTGAGAAAATAGGAGTACTACAGTGTGACCCTTACAAAGCCCATTAGACAAGACATGTTCCTAATCATTTTTAACAACCTCCCATAGGTCAGAACCAACCTCAACATTACTACTGGGAGGGAGAGAAGATTACAAAAGTAATTTTCATTTTAACATCTTCTTGCCATAGTGTTGTTGTTGTTGTTAAGTGCCACTGAGTCGGTTCCGTCCCATAGCGACCCTGCATAGGGTTTCCAAGGCTGTAAATCTTTAGAGGAGCAGAAAGCCTCATCTTGCTCCCGTGGAACTGCTGGTATTATCACTCAAAAAGTGATGCTGATGATGTTTTGGAAAAGTATGAATGAAATTACTTCAAAAACAATTAAGAACTGGGAAAAGCCATACTTAAAAACTGGTACGTTTCATAATTAATTTTAAATACTTTATATTTAATTTTAAATATAAGGGAGCTTCAAAAGTTTGAGGGAAAAGTCCATTATCTTTTCAATTCCATTTTCCCATGAATTTTTGAAGCCCCCACACAAATAACTTTTAAAACAGTAGAAGTACATATTACTTATTTATGCTTCTGAAAAAAAAATTATGTTTAAGTTTACCAAAAGAAATTCAGGGAAGAGTGTCATTTGGAAATCTAAATATCTTTTGGGAACAATTTATTAGGACATTTATGTCAATTTGCCATGTCTCACACTCAATGACCAAGCAACCTGTAGCTTTACATAGTATAACACACTGCTTCTGGATCAATGAAGAATCTCAGCAGCATATTTTCTGTGAAATCAACTTTTATAAAGTTGCTTCTGAGTAACACATTTTTAAATCGTGAGGTGCAGAAAGGCTAAACTAACAACAAATGAAGAAGTGTTATTAAATTGATTAAAAATTAACTTTTAAAAATGATCTGTCTCTTGAGTCATTCATATTAACATTTTAAAAAATGTTTTTCCTTAAAATTAAGAGTCACAAATATCTGGGTCCTTCCAGAAGTACATAAATTCTCTTTAAAAAAAAAATCACACTTATAAGTAGCTTCAAAACTTGTATTGTTATAAACATTACACATGCTGTTTGTTAAATACCATCAAGTCGATTCCAACTCATAGAGAACCTGTATAGGGTTTGTGAGGAGCATCCAGTGGGTTTGAACCTACAATCTTGCTGTTAGCAATCCAGTGATTAACCTACAGCGCCACATCAGGACTCCATTATCAAATGAAAAAAAAAGTTACAATTTTAACATGTGTATAAATCACAGGCATTGGCCCAATTGTGATCCTCCATGAGACTTCACGCAGACAAACCTTTCATTATTTTTATTTGAAATCTTAAGTTACCTAAATCAAGTGACATCTAACATTAACTCAAAGAACCAATTTTATAATGAATTCTACTTACGGCTGCACGTCGGACATAAACAGGATGAGAAAGGTGCACATTGTTAAGAAGAAATAAGATAGAATCCAATGTATAATACTCTCTAGGTTGGCCTTCCTTTCCAGTCCTGAAATAATCAAACAAAGCAAGATTTTTACTAGCAATTCTAATTCAAATCTTTGGGCTTAATTTAATGTACTCATTTATCTATACCTACTTTGCTGTCCAACAGTGTACTTAAAAAATAACTAACCAAAATACACTAAAGTATATCATTAACCAGTGAGTCAAACGGGTCATTAGGACAAAAGGAACAAAATGGCAAACACTGAGAAAAAGCAGAAAGAAAGTACACAAAATTCATACTCTTAAGATACTATAAACTTTTTAGAATTAGGCCTAAATTAGGCCCAGGTCATTGTTAACAGCAAGAGAAACCTAACCAGTTACAGATAGGGAGAATTCATATGAGAAAAATCACTAAATTGCTCAGAAGTACAACTGCGGTTAGTGTTAAAATTTGAGGCTCCTGATAAGAAAGATAGTGCTGAACATCCTCAACAATATTCTTATAGTAAACACAGAAATGAATTTCAGAGGTATGATTCTTGTGACATCCCTCAAATTAGACCAATGACGTAAACCCAAAATGCAATTGTACATGTAATTCAACAATACAGTACAAGGATGCAACTTTTCTAATGTTTTCTAAGTAACAATTATTAGTTTCTGATCCCACTTCTCCTACCTCATTCTCTCATTCAGAAGCAAAAAGGTCAATGTATTTTTCATGGATTGAACTATGTCGTGTTCACTCCAACCCCAAAATGTGTGTACACTTGGCTGGGATGATTCTCTGGTTTGGCGGTTACATAATGATTCCCTATGATGTAGCTTGATAGGATAAACCAATAAAAGAATTAAGAGAGAGAAACACCACCCTTAATCCTAGCAATTCCCTGATCCAATCTGAGAGGTTCCCAGAGTGTGGCATGCAGCACATTTTATCTTACAAGACAGGAGTTCGAAGAGAAGGGGACCCACTAGCTCCAAGAAAGAATTTCTGGGAGTGGAAGTGTCCTTGGGTCCTGGGGTCCCTGCACTGTGAAGCTCCTAAATCCAGGGAAAGACTTATGAAAAGACACATGGAAATCTCCAAGGAATACTAGGCCTACAGATTCTGAAAGGAGACAAGGACCTTTCTCTACTACAGTCAGTGGTCTGGACTCAGACACCTAGTCTCCGTAACTAGGAAAGAATAAATTTCTGGTTACTATAGCCATCCACTTGTAGTATTTCTGCTGTAGTAACATTAGATAACTAAGACAATATATGAATTCATCTGAATGCAGCTCACTATAATAAGCCCTGATTCTGCTTATTAACAGATTCTACAGGGGGGCTTCAAAAAGTTCATGGAAAAATTCCTTTCTTTTTCTTTCCAGTTGTCTACAAACTTTTTGAAGTACCCTGGTATTCAATTTTCCTTTAAATCAATTTATTTCAAACTACACATCTACGCTAAGAAATCAAATATATGGGTAACCACTAGGTTTTTCTTCATGTTTGATACAGAATAGAAAAACAATGGACCGCATACAATAACAGTATTGCTTATTGTTACATATGTTTATATATAAATGCACGTGCATATGGATGCACAGTTATAATAAATGAAAATGTATTTCTTGATTTGATTTACAGTTTTAAAGTTTACCCATTCTTTAAAGTATATTCATTCATTCAGGAAAAAATTACTAGAAGCCAACATGCCAAACACATTTATGAAACCCTTCCTAATGCTACCCACCCATCCAAAAGTGATAATCGCTTATGAGACAAAAACATTTCACATCCATTTATGTGTTATCTACTCTATTCAGATTAAGTTAACCACCATTGTCTTGAGATTTTTTTTATTTCTCACATTTATTTTTTTAACTGATCTGCACTGAGTACTCTTAAGCACTTCAAAAGACAAAAAAAAGAAAAAATCCAATCCAATATTGCCCATGCAGATTCTTTTGAAAAGATTAACACACACACTCAAAAACTCCAAATATCATTTCATATACATTTTTAAAGCTAATTAAATCGTAAGTCCTTGAGATATCATAAAAAATCTAAACCCAAAGAACCAAACCAAACACACACACACACGTTGTTATGTGCCATGGAGTTGGTTCCTACTCATAGTGACCCTGTAGAGGGTTTCCGAGGCTGTAAATCTTTACGGGAGCAGAAAGCTTCAGCTTTCTCCTACGGAACCGCTGGTAGTTTCGAACTGCTTACCTTGAGGTTAGTAGCCCGACTCATAACCATTACGCTACCAGAGCTCCTGATGTTGTCCATAGCTTTTTGTCTTATCTTCATAAACACACTGCACCCTGCACTTTACTCTTCAATAAAACAAAACTAATGGAGTTCTGGTTCAAGATGCTAATCGCCAAATGTAGCCCCAAAGGTAGTGTCATCACTAAAATGGCCTCTAATAATCATTAGACCTGTCTCTAGATGTTTTGCTGAGTGATTTAAATTCAAGAAACCCCACATGGATTATCATTCCAAACACTGGACTGCTAACCACAAGGACGGCGGTTCAAACCCACCAGTGGCTCCTCGGAAACGCTATACAGCGTCGCCTTGAGTCGCGGACTCAACGGCACTTAACAATAACAAATGAATTCACGCACATCAATTTCTTATACCTGTATCCTCTCGCACCATTCCAATACTAACTTTCTCCCTACGAAAACTCCTGCCTCCACCTCTAATATAGATTTTGATGACTTTCAAATTCATCTCATCTGTCTTTCGTCCTACTTCATAGTTGGTTCCCTTCTCTCTTCTTGAGAGATACCTCTTTCTCGAACACGAAAGAAGAAATGAACCTGGGTCAGCGAAGACAGTTACAACACATGGCAGCCTCAAAGAAAAGAAAATGAACAAAAAAAAAAGACGTCTCCAGCACCAGACGATGTGTTCCTTTGGGCACCTATGCCCTGGTATATTATGCACCAGCCTTACACATTACAGGCACTCCATGAATACTGATAAAAAATGAACGGTAAAGTAAGAAATTCCCATGGCACCTTGGTCCTTTGACTTCTCAAATTTTAAAGGAATGGGCCACTCAAAACGCAGCTCCTCACCCCAAAAGTACAACTTCTGCTCAGGAGAGAAACTTTTTCTCGGAGCACCCCAGGTTTTTTTTTCGCGTTCCCATGGGAAACGAGGGGAAGGGTTAGGAAAGAGGTCACCTGGGGGCTCCCAACTCTTTTCTTCCACCCTTGGCCACAGCCCTACCGGACTTACCCCCAGACAACATAGTTGGTCTTGACATTCTTGGGCCAGGAGAACTCCCCGAAGATTACTTCGTCTCCCTTCACCACAATCTCCTTCTTCTGGATGTTATACTGTCGCAGGACACTGAGCACGTCCGCCATCTTCCCCCCCCTTGCCGAAGCCGGCCCCAGGCGCCGCCGCCGCCGCGCCTGCCTCCGCCTTCCTCCGTCTCCTCGCCCTCCTCCTCCGCCTCCGCCTCCTCCGCCGCCGCCGCCGCCGCGAACCAACAGCAGCACCACCAACAGCCGTCCTCGCCTACGACAGCAGCAGAAGCAGCAACCACCCAGACCGCCGAGGACCCCGCGTTATTAGGCAAGGCCCCGCCGCTGGCTGCCCGCGGAGAATGCCTGACTGCACGCTTCCAGCGCTGCTCCGCCGCCGCCAGGGGGAGCCGCGACAGCCCGGGAAAATGCCCCTCCCAGACTCCTACTCTGCTAGGAACTGACTCCCAGCACAGAGTGCTGGAACACCGTGCCTACGTACGGCGCACGTACAGGGAACATTGCCGGGTGCACGCGCACGCGCGAGAAGTACGTACTCCATTCCCCGCAGCGCGCACCCGACAGGCGACAGGTGCGCGCGCACCTGCTTGGCAGGCGCATCCTACTACCCCCGCTGGAGAGCTTTCTGACACAACCTGTCTTGAAGGCAGCACAAGGCTCTCGCGTTTTACAAAAAAGTAGAATTACCTTCCCATCTACTTCTAACCCAGACGTATTATTAAAAAATCCTCTAGATGCTAGTAATCTGGTTAAGCCCCTGTGCTGTTGAGTTGGTTCTGAATCAGAGTGACCCTGTATAAGGTTTCCGAGGAGTGGCTGGTGGATTTGAACCGCCAACCTGAAAGGTTAGAAGTCAGCGCTTATCCTACAGCGCCACACGAGGACTTGCTAAACTGCTTTAGAAAACTGTTTTTCCCTATGGACACACAAAATGAAAAAGATCAAGTACCGCAGAGCTCAATTCCCACCACCACTATAGATTAGCTGCTGTTTGATCGTGGTCAAGTTACATACATTCTCACAGCAGCATCACTTTGTTTAATGTATAAAATGGAGTTAACATATGGGTAGTGTTGGTTTCAGGGATTTTAGGAGAATTATAATATGGTGTGGCGCTCTGGTTTCATGAGCTGGCCTACAAGGTCGGTTTGAACTGCAAGGTTGGCTGTTCAAGCTCATAAACAGCTTTCGGAAGCCCTATACAGGGTCTCTATGAGTCGGAACGGACTCGATGGCACTAACAACCACAACAACGTGAAACCACGTGCTAGGGGGTTGATGCTCTTAACTGTCATCGAGTTAGTTCCGACTCATAGTGACCCTGTATAGGGTTTCCGAGGAGCAGCTGGTGGATTTGAACTGATGACCTTTTGGTTCACAGTTCAGTGCTGATCCTACAGGCCACATCAGGAGTCCATGTTAAGTTGGGTAGCTGGGAAGACAATTTACTACAAGAGGAAGGTTCGTAGAGGAAAGATGAAAGTAGCAGAAGACACAGGGAGGATTGCAAGAGTTAAAGTCAATTAATTGTTATTGTTAGGTGCCATTGAGTTGGTACCGACTCATAGCAACCTGTGCACAGCAGAACGAAACAGTGTCAGATCCTGGGCCAACCTCACTATTGTTGCCACGCTTGAGCCCGTTGATGCTGCCACATTGCCAATCCATCTCACTGGGCTTCTTCCTCTTTTTCTCTGACCCTACACTTTACCCAACATGATATATCCTTCTCCAGTGACTAGTCCCTCCTGACAATATGTCCAAAATGCGAGAGACAAAGTTTGGCCATTCTGGCCTCCAATGAGCACTCTGGCTGCACTTCTTCCAACATAGTTGGTTCTTTTGGCAGCCCATGGCACTTTCAATATTCTCCTCTAACACCATAATTCAAAAGCATCAAATCTTCCATGGTCTTCCTTATTCACTGTCCAGCTTTCACATCCAAATGAGGCTATTGAAAATACCATGGCTTCGGTCAGGCACACCTTAGTCTTCAAGCTGACATCTTTGCTCTTCAACACTTTAAAAAGGGATTGTGTAGCAGATTTGCCTAATGCAACACGTCGTTTGATTTCTTGACTGCTGTTTACTGCTTGGTGATAGTTGTTGATACAAGAAGAATGAAATCCTTGACAACTTCAATCTTTTCTCTGTTGATAAGAATGTTGTTTATTGGTCCAGTGGTGAGGATTTTTGTTTTCTTTACATTGAGATGCAATCCATACCGAAGGCTGTGCTCTTTGATCTTCATCAGTAAATATTTTAAGTCTTCTTCACTTTCAGCAAGGAAGGTTGTATCATCTGCAAATCACAGGTGATTAATGAGTCTTCCTCCAGTTCTGATGCCACGTTTTTCTTCATATAACCCAGCATCTCAGATTATTTTTTCCGTGTACAGGTTGAATAAGTATGGTGAAAGACTACAACCTTTTCTCACACCTTTCTTAATTTTTAAACCATTTAGTGTTCCCTTATTCTGTTTGAACAACTGCCTCTTGGTCCAGGTACAGATTCCTCATGAGCACAATTAAGTGTTCCAGAATGCTCATACTTCACAATGTTGTCTATAACTTGTTATGATCCACAAAATCGAAAGCCTTTGTGTAGTCAATAAAACACAGCTAAATATCTTTCTGATAGTCAAGATCTATCGGACTTCAGCAATGATATCCCTCATTCCATGGCCTCTTATGAATCCGGCTTGAACCTCTGGAAGTTCTCTGTCAATGTATGCTTGCAGCTGTTTCTGTATTACCTTTAGGAAAACTTTATTCACATAAGATATCAAAGAGATTGTCTGATGATTTCCGTATTCCAATGGTTCACCTCTCTTTGGAATGGGCACAAGTACAGATTTCTTCCAATCAGTCGGCGAGATAGTTGTCTTCCAAATTTCTTGGCATAGATGAGTGAGTGCCTCCTGTGCCACCTCACTTTCTTGAAAGATTTCACTTTGATTCCATCAATTCCTGTAGCCTTGTTCTTTGCCAATTCCTTCAGTGCACCTTGGACTTCCGCCTTCAGTGTCATTAGCTCTTGATCAAATGCTACCTCTTGAAACAGTTGAACATCAACCATGTCCTTTTGGTACAGTGACTCTGTATTCCTTCCATCTTTTCTTGATGCTTTCTGCATCATTCAATAATTTTCCCAGAGAATCCTTCAATAATGATAGTCGAGGCTTGGATTTTTCTTCAGTTCCCCCAGCTTGAGAAATGCTGAGCGTGTTCTTCCTTTTTGGTTTTCTGATTCCAGATCTTTGCACATTTTGTTGTAATATTTGGCCTTATCTTCTCGAGCTGATCTTTGACATTTTCTGTTTAGGTCTTGTAGCTCCTCATTTCTTCCATTTGCTTTAACATCTCTGTGCTGGAGAGTAAGTTTCAGTGTCTCTTCTAACATCCATTTTTGTGTTTTCTTTCTTTCCTGTCTTTTCAATGATCTTTTGCTTTCTTCCTGTTGATGATCTTGATAGCATCTCACAACTCTTCTGGTCTTCAGTCTTTAGTGTTTAGTGTATCAAATCTGTTCTTCAGATGGTGTCTAAATTCAGGTGGGATATGTTCAAGGTTGTATTTTGGCTCTCGTGGACTTGTTTTCATTTTCTTTACTTGATGCTACATGGAGGTGATTGCAATTATTGGGATAAAAAGAAGTACATAATTTGTTTAAGGTAAAACTGATGATCTCTATAAACCTGCACTCAATTCACAGTAAAAAGTTTTTTGAAAGAGAAAAATGGTGAAAGTGTCTAGCAAACCAAAATAACATACATATTGGAGATACCTGTTCTATTCCATATATAATAGTGTGGAGAATGGTCTGAGGAAGCACTGTTGAAAAAATTTAATTGGCTATTGTCCTGGTGTTGCGCTGTGGGTTAATGTGCCAGACTGCACAGCCATTTTAACTACAAGGTCGGCAGTTGAAGCTCACCAGCTGCTCCTTGGAAACTCTATACAGGGTCACTATGGATCGGAACCAACTTGACGGCACTTCACAACAACAACATTGCTTAGACTAACTGCTTATTATGCATGTGAAAGCTGGTCAGTGAATTAAGGCAGTGGCAGCTGGATGGGAAAAACAGGATAGATTTTTTTAATATTTAGAAATAAAATATGATTAAGAAATAGAAGAATGGAAAGAATGTAGGATGACTTTCAGGGTTTTTCTTTTTTTCTGTTATTCTTCAACCAAAGACCACCAAGAACATAGTTGAATAAAGGTGGCTTGTTGCAACTGACTTGTTGCAAAGAAGGAGTCTATATGCCACAGGAAACTGTGGATGCTTATTACAGGATTTGTGCTTGTGTTACTTGACTTTGGGACGAGTTCAAGAAGTAGGACTTTACCCTTGAGACTAAGGCCTTTAGTCACCCTTCAGGCTGTAACAGAACTCACCCTCGTGGCTCAAATCTCAGTCAAAAAAATTTGTCATCATTGTTCAGGTGCCACTGAGGGGGTTCTGACTGATAGCAACCCTGTATAGGATTCCCAAGGAGCAGCTGGTGATTTTTTGAGCCCTTGACCTTATGATTGCAGCACCACACCAGGACTCCAGTCAAACAATGTTGCTGTTGTTGTTAAGTGCTGTCCAGTCAGTTCAGACTCACAACTACCTTGTAAAGAGATTCCAAGAAGCAACTGGTGGGTTTGAAGTACTGACACTGTAGTTAGCAATCCATACTTAACCTACAGCACCACACCAGACAATAGGCAGGGCTATAAAATAATCAGTAACACTAGGGAGGTAAACACCTCTTAGAATAATCAACCATTTGAGATCAAAAGGACATCATTTGCCCAAGTACAAAATTCATAAGGCAGGAAGAAAGAAGGAGGAATGGAAACAGGAAATGCAGGGAGGCGGTGGAATAATTGATACATTATGGAGATTGCAGTATATGATATGAAACAAATTATAGGTGAATTGTTGAATGGAAAACTGATTTGTTCTGTAAAACTTCACCCAATTCACAAAAACCCACTGCTACTCCATCAATTACAACTGATAGTGACCAACCAATAACTTCCAAGATAGGAACAAAAAGCCTCATCTTTCTCCCTCAGCAGCTTGTGAATTCAAACTGCAAACTTTGCAGTTAGCAGCCCAAT